CCCCCCCCCCCACGGAATTGAAAGGCGGCGAATTACATGAGAGAGAGAGAGAGAGAGAGAGAGAGATAGAGCGCTCTTTGTAAGGAAAAGATTTTTTTTTCCTTCAATCTCTCCAAGGGCAAGAACTAAAACAATAAATCAAAGTTTAATTGAACATAGAAGATAGAAGTAATCTTCTTTTGTGTTGGACTACTTCCAAAATAACGGCCATCTTTGTGCCTTTGTTCCTGGGACTCTTGGACCCCTGCCAAGGCTGCAAAATCACGGCCAATATGGAAGAAATTAAAGAAATTAAAAAAACACTTTTGGAAATACAGACCTCTTTAGCAGCCTTACAGCGATCTCAACAGGCAATAATACTGCAACAGAAGACTGTTTTAATTAAGCAACTTGACTGTTTCTTAATTGAATCAAAAGTTGGCTTTGATAACTTAGTTTTTTCTATTAATCAAGCTTTGACCAAACGAGTTGTATCTGAGCAGAATATGCAAAATATCCAGCAAGCAGAAGAAAAATTTGAAACAGAATATAACAAGTGAATTATTATGGGATGGACCTATAAATAGAGAACAAGCAGATGGATATTTGGAGAGTTAATCATTATGGGATGGGCTTGTAAATAGACAACAAGCAGATGGATATTTGGAAACATCAGGAATAAAAAGGCCTCCATGTGAATTGCTTCTTAAGCTGGAAAAAGAGAAGATAGCTGGGCTACAGTCCAAGACACATGATCTACTGCAGACACTACGATAGTCTAATGTGAACAAAGAAGCAACGGGTGGACATGATTTATTACATGATTTATTACATGTATTACTTCCCGGTTGGATTTCTGTAACGTGCTTTACATGGGGCTGCCCTTGAAGACAGTCCGGATACTTCAGATGATGCAGAACAGAGCTGCCAGGATGCTGACAGGGACTGGACATTATTCTCATATAACCCCAGTCCTCTATCAGCTCTGCTGGCTTCCCATCGAAGTCCGGGCTCAATTCAAGGAGCTGGTTATTACCTATAAAGCCCTAAATGGCTTGGGACCTGGATACCTAAAGGAACGCCTGCTTCCCTATTTGCCCTCCCACCCCGTGAGATCGGCAGCAGACACCCTCCTCCGGGAACCCTCTGGGAAAGATATTAGGAGGCAGAGCACCCGGAAGAGGGCCTTCTCTGCGGTGGCGCCCCATTTATGGAACGCGCTCCCTGGAGAGGGTCGCCTGGCACCATCATTATATGTTTTTCAGCGCCAGGTTAAGGCCTTTTCATTTCATCAATATTTTAATAAGCTTTAATATTTTATTTTTTAATATTATATATTTAACTGCAGCCAGAGTGGGTCGATTTGTTTATGTTGATTTTTATGTTGATATTTTGTTATAATTTATATATACTGATATTTGTATTTTATTTATGTAAGCTGTCCTGAGGCTTTTGCAATAGGACGGCATATAAATATCACAAATAAATAAAATAAATAAAAATTGATAGTAGCAAAGAATTGGAAGGAGAAAAGGGATCTCCAGTTAATTAAATGGTTTAAAGAAGTTTGGGATATAGTGGTTAATGACAAATTTATGTGTGAGATAAAGGTAAAAAAGGGATTGGTAAAGAAGAATGATTTTAACAATATGCAGGGTATGCTTTTTGAACATGTATTAATAAAAGAGGAGGGTATTAATGTATTGCAATTTTGGAGGGAAGAGGGTATCAGTGAAAGAGCCATAAATGAAGGGAAAAAAATACTAGGCAACTATGGTCTGGTGGAGGGCTGCACTACTGGTGACTTCTGTTTTTTTTTTTTTTTAATTTTATTTTGTGTATTGTGTGTTTTTTCTTTATTATATGATTTGTGAATTTGTATCTTATAGACATAATAACAAAAAAGGAAATCAGGGTAATATGAATCAGTTTACCAGTAAGTAGATCATTGGAAGCCAGTTACCTAGAACACTGCTGGCACAATGGGTTGTCTGATTCATAAGTGGTTCTTTTTTAAATAGTCTTTTTTGTACATACATGCAATTTTGGTCTGAGACTTTGAATTTGTTTCAAATTAGTACTATAGTGTTACTTTGATAGCTGTTTTATGGGTGATTTTTTGTTTTTATCATGCTTATTGCTTAATTAGGTTTTGCGTTCTAAAATGTTAGACCAAATAAAGACTTTTCTCTTCCAGCTTACCTGTGTTGGTGTTGGGGATGTATGCAATAAAGGAAAGGTAAATTCTATTCTGCTTTTAAATATTGTTAAATATTGCATTATACTTAAACTTGCGTTCATGTGTCAGAATGGTATGAAACATTATCAGTCTTTTTCTCTAGCTCTGGAAAAAAACAGGATAATGTGAATAGTGAGTAGCTTAGTGAATACGTTGTTCTGCTTGTAACATTAAGCAAGTGATTCTTCTGTCAAATTGAAGCAAAATAATATATTTTATAATGTTGCTGGTATAAACAATCTTTTTTCAACTTTGATTTCCCAAACAGAAACATAGAAACAGAGTCAGAAGTGGCCTCCTGGGCCATCTAGTCTGACCCCCGGCTCTAGTTGGCTCCACTTATGAAATGCCTACCATGTGTATGTCCAGCCTATCCTTGAACACCTCATCAAAGGGGCTTCAACCACCTCCCATGGAAGCCCATTCCATACGCTAGCGGTCCTAACCATCAGGAAGTAATTCCTGGCATCCACATTGAATCTTGGTTCCCTGAGCTTTGCTCCATTGGAATGCGTCCTGCCCTTCACCACAAGGGAAAAGAGGTCATGACCCACCTCTGCATGATACCCCCTCACATACCTGTATGTTGCTATGTAACAGGTCCCCTCTGAGTCTCCTCATTGCTGAAAAGAACCAGTTCCCTCAGTCTCTGATATGGTTTACCCTGCAAACCAATCACCAACCTAGTGACCCTTCACTGCACTGACTCTAACCTTGTATATCCCTCTTGTAATGAGGGGCCCAGAATTGAACACAGTACTCCAGTTGTGGGCGCATTACAGTCATATAAAGTGGCAATGATTCATCTCTCATCTAGAAGCCACACTTCTGACTATGCATCCTTCTGGATCCAGAGTGCCTGTTCCTCAGTTATGGCCACTGCTCCCATTTTAGTATCATCTGTGAATTTGATCAGCGGACTGGACACCCCCTTTTCCAGGTCATTGATGAAAAGATTGAACAGGATCGATTTCAGGACAGAGCCCTGGGGGACCCCGCTCATCACCAACTGCCATCCCGATAATTCCTCACTAATAGTTACCCTCTGCTTTTGATCCCTCAAACATACTCTAATCCATCAGACAGTGCATTGGTCTATCCCAAAACTCCTCAATTTCTCAACCAGGATATCATGAGGCAGTTGATTAAAGGCCTTGCTGAAATTCAGGTAACTCACATCGACTGCATCCCCTCCGTCTAGCCACCTCGAAACCTTGTCCTAGAATTCCACAAGGTTCATCTGGCAGGACCTGTTTTTGTGGAAGCCATGTTGCATAGCTGCCAACCTTCCTTCCCCGTCTAGGGATTCCAGAGCATTTCCTATGATGAGCCTTTCCATCGTCTTTCCCACGATGAATGTAAGGCTAACTGGCCTGTAATTTACCATGTCACCTCTACTCCTGTTTTTGAAGATTGGGACCACTGGCACCACCCTCCAGTCCTCTGGAACCTCACCTGTTCTCCACAAGCCCTCAAAAATGGAGACCAGTGGACGTGAGAGTTCCACTGCTAACTCCTTAAGTACCCGTGGGTGTAATCCATCAGGGAGTGGCACCTTCATAACATCCAGTGCCCTGAGGAGCTGCCCAATGTCTATGGGGGTGACTCTCATCTGTGCCTCTAAATCACCAACCTCATCTGATCCCCCATATGGCTCTCCCCCATCCTGCTTTGGTGGGAACGCAGGAGCAAATTATTATTATTATTATTATTATTATTATTATTATTATTATTATTATTATAACATTTCTATGCCGCCCCTTGCCAAAACCTCGGGGCGGCTTACAACATGATAAAATAGTCATTTAGCATCTGTGCCTGTTCCCTCACATCACCCACCAAATCACCTTTCTGCTTATTAAGTGGTTCCACTGCCTGTCTCCCCTTCCTCTTGCTATTTACATGTTGATATAAGCCCTTTTTGTTGCTCTTGATATTCTTTGCAAATCTCAGCTCATAATCAGCTGAAGCCTTGCAAAGAATCCTTCTGCAATGAACCTCCTCCTCCTCCCAGTCTACCCTTCATCTACCTGCCCCAGTGCCCATTTCCTTTGGAGGTTCCTCTTAGGCCTTATCCCTCTTACCACTTCTCTTCTCATCCCCAGGGGTGCTCTCCTTTGCCTCCCTGCCTTGCTAATCAGCGATATTGTCAAGGTTTGCGCTTCCAAGACATCCCTGTTTAGCACCATCCACTCCGCTTTTCAGTACCCTCTCCCAGGAGACTTAGAAAAACATAGAAAAAGCATAGAAAACATAGAAATGGAGTGAGTCAGAAGGGGCCTCCCAGGCCATCTAGTCTGACCCCTGGCTCCAGTCGGCTCTGCTCATGACATGCCTACCATGTGCACATGCCTACATGACTTTCCCCAGTCTGGCCTTCAATTGACCAAAGTTGGGCCTTGTGAAGTCCCAGCTTGTAATACTTGACCTGTCACTCATCTCTGTTCCCCTGATCAGAAAGCAAAGGATGGAGTGATTACTTGCATCCAGAGTTCCCTTAATCTGTACCCCATCTATCAGCTCCTCCCTGTTGGTCAAGACCAAGCCGAAAATGTTGGACTATAATTCTTATCATCCTCAACCAACATGACTGATACAGGAACATCTTGGAAACAAAGGTTGTGAGAGTCTAGTCAAACACACAGAGGGGCTGATCCTAATTATGCATACTGTGCAATAAGTTCCATTGAAATAGTTTAGAATTAGATTCACGTAGCCATACTTAGGATGAAGCTGAAAGCTTTTCATTAGTTTATTGTAGTCCATGTACATTTATATAGAATGAGTAGACTGATGGGTTTACAATCCAGAAAACAGACATGAGGCAAGGGAAAGAAAGTTGGAAGCATGAGTAGACAAGAAGAATATATTTGACTGCTCTGGTTACATATACTTTGGTTTAATTACATTAGAGAATGAAAATTAGGAGGTTCATGGAAAAAGTGAGTTTTAAGGAAGAATTTGAATGATACAAAAGAGGTGGAATCATTGAAGCATGGGGAAATTTGAGTGAGAAGGAGAGCTTCAGAGAGTTGTTGTGTTAAGGTCACACACATATGTCAGTATAGAAGATCATGGGAGGCAAGACTATGGAGGGTGTGGAAGGTAGAAAAGATGCTTATTTAGGGTCTGGGAGTGGAAAGGAAGCTATTTTTAGAGTTGAATTGGTGAGAAAGAGTAACTATGGGAATGGGGAGCTGGATGGAGATGTTCAAGATGAGACAGTGGAAGAAAAGATATGATAAGTTCACATTACAAATTTTGTTGTAAAATTACACATTTCAGGACTGAAATCTAAATAGGATTGAAAAATGAGAGCATAAGCTGAAATACACATGCTTTGTTACAGATAAACTATGAGGAAACATGCATGTGTTGTGTTGAATGGAAGGTTGACACTGAACACTAGCCTGTCCAGAAGGCTAGATTCTGCTCAGTTTACTACCCTATCCTGTGTCTGTGTGCATATTAAAGACAATGCATGGGGCTTACTGTAGTAAGCAATAAGACTTTATGGTGCTTACAATACACGGGGCTTTTGCCATTGATCCCACAACCTTTTCAGGTTGATGCAAATTGCTTTCATTTTATTGCTGTTCTTTTTATCTTACTACACCATAATGATCCAGGAACTGTTTTTGTCAGAACTTGGTTGTTGCAGTGAGTGCTGAGGGTTGGTTTCATCTCTTTGACTTCACTTCACCCACAAAGCACCTGGATGCCTTGAGCCACCATGAACCCCCAGCAATAGATGACCAAAAGCTGGGCTTCAAGCAGCACATTCCTGCCAACACCAAAGTTATGCTGATCAATGACATTGGTGAGTAATCAATGAGCTTTCTTGCAGTTATCAAATTCTGGCCAAGAGAAAAAAGTTACAGTTTAAAATCTGATAATGAGAAGCCTCAGTTCTTCATCTTGGTCTCTGGGCATCACACATGTGGGCTTTGCCACAAAGTGCAGGGACTCGCCTGGAGAGAAACTTCCAAAGGTAAGTGTCACAAAGTGGGTGGGAGCCCCCCCCCCCCATTTTACAAGCCCCAGAAGGGATGGGGAGCTCTCTCACTTCCTCAGTTTTCTTGGAGACCGCAGTATCTCCAGGCTCATGAGCAGGTGTGAGGTTGTGCCCTTGGCCCGTGTCCCCTGGGCCAGCAGCTGCACCAGTACCAGGAGGCCTTCCATGCTGATGCTGGCCCATGTGTGCTCCCATTGACATCAACCTTTTGTTTTGTGAGCTGCCCCGAGGCTTTGTTGTGATGGGGGCGGCATAGAAATGTTTTAAATGAATGAATGAATGAATGAATGAATGAATGAATGAAAAAAAACCTGCTCTCAGCATTGATGCTAGCCCAACCCACTGCCCCCAGGCCATGCCAGCTACCGACTTTGCTTGCCAACCACCAAACCAACCAGCAACTGAGTAGCATTGCATGAACACACAGCCAGCACACACACTCACTGTTCCTGCAGCCCTCCAGAGGTGTCGTCACTCTACTCACCGATCCCTGGCAGGGGGCTCTTGCCATTCATCCACCAATGATCTCCATCCTCCAACTTAAGTCAAAGCTATTCTCTGACTTGATCTGCTCTCTTTTGTCTGCCCCCACCCCCTGTGCTCTCCTGAGGTCCCAGCCCAGGAGCAGGACCAGGACTCATGTAGTGGGGGAAAGAGGCATTTCACTGCCCTGGTTCTTCGCATGGCTGACAACCTTGGCTTTGACATCTCCCAGCCGGCAGAGCATTCCACGCCTGTCTCCATCCCTTTCCCTCCAGCCCTTCTCCGCATGGTGCAGTGGTAATGGAAGTCCCCTGCAGTAACACTGACTACCTCACGCTCCATTGAGTCGATCTATCGAGCATCACATAAGTCTCTCCCCTTCCAAAACCTCAAGCTTAACTCTATTATAGTTGAATTTGTACATGGAACATACCAGTGGGACCACTCAGTGCCAGCAGACAGGAAGTGACAGCCTCTTGATAACCTGGCCCGAAGGGAATATGAGGCTTCCTCCTTGGGCCTTCGTGTGTCCACATATGAAGCCCCCATGGCCAGTACCAGATGTTCCTCTGGCACAGCACCTACCACCCAAACAGCATGAGGCGGCAAGGCTAGTTCACGCAGAGGCCCAGAAGCTGTCCAGGTACCAACTAGAGGCAGCACGTGACCATGTGTACTGTGATAGGAAGGTGCTGTTGGCAGCCATCACAATCCATCACCACGCCTGACTGTGCTCTGTGGGCCTTGCTCAGGAGACCTGCACCCACATTGTCAACATGCCCTTTGATGGGGAGGGACTCTTCAAAGCCAGGATGAAAGAGAGTATAGACTTCCTCCACAAGGGCCAGAACAACCACCAGATATATGTGGTTTGCCCAGCAGGACCAAATGCATAAGGGGCACAGGGCTCCTCTCAGTGCTAGCCTTTGTTCCTCCCCTGACTGTCCCTTCAAGGCTAGGACACTGCACCCCACAAGAGGCAGGACACCCAGCCCCATCAGAAGTTCACACCTAATTGCCAGGACATCAGATGCAGGTGCTGAAGGCCAGGTCCAGGCAGCCCCCCTTCCTCCCTCCCCTCTTCATTAACCATGACAAGTCTGTTCTCTCCCCTACCCAGCCCATCCTCTTCATAGGGGCTCACCTGGATTTCATACATGTGAAGGCATTCCTCCCACAACTAAGGATTGGGACTCTCACCTCACTTGTCATGACCGTCAGGACCCTGGCCTTCACCACCTATACCATATAGAGACTCTTGGACTTCATGGCTACCACACTGTCTGTGTGTGGTTCACCTTACTCACCTCCAGATGGAAGCATTCACTGTGGACAACAACCCCCACTCCACTACCCTCTCCCCCCTCCCCCGCCCCAAGGGTCAGGCACTCACTCCTTTGGTGGTCTACCCCAGCCAACCTCTCAGCCGGGCTCCCCTTCTCCCCTCCAGAACTGGAACTCATCCTCATGCCTCAAACACAGGCTGGGGTGCTCACTGTGGAGATCTCTGTGCCCAGGGTGCAAATCACAATGGCACATCAACCTTCTGGAGATGCTGGCCATGCACAAAGCCCTGTTCTCCTTTCAGGACTTCCTAAAGGGTTGCCATGTCCAAATCACCACAGACAATGCAACTGTTATGTAGTATCTGAACAAACAGGACAGGACCCATTTCATCCATCTATCCAACCTTGCATTCACCATCTGGGAGTGGTGCCTAGAAAGAGCCACTTTGACACCTGTTGAGTGGGAGCTGGATGATGCAGTCCTTCACAACCTCTACACCAGGTGGGGCACGCCAGAAGTCAACCTCTTCACCACTCCCTAGAATGTCAAATGCCACCACTTCTGCTGGAGAGCCATGAAGGCCCCCAGGTCCAAACCCTTGTTGTTGAGGACACCAATTTAGATTATCACACTCAGGTGGCTGTCCATTTTCTTTTTGAATGTCTCTAATGTGGGAATGCTAACTCTATAGGTAGCTGGTTCCACTGTTGTATTTCTCTGACAAGGAGGAAACTTTTCCTGATACCTAGCCTGAATCTGGGTTGTCACAACTTGAATTGGTTATTCCACATTCTGTATTCTGGTATCAGCAAGAAGAGATCTTGACTTTCCTCCTTGTAACATCCTTTGAGGTACTTGTAGAGAGATATCATGTCCCCACTCAGTCTTCTCAAGGCTGAAGGTGCCCAGTTCTTATTCTCTCCTCATAGGGCATTGTTTCCAAACTCTGGATCATTTTTGTTGACCTTCTCTGAACCCTTTCTAACTTTTCTGCATCTTTCTTAAATCTTGGTGCCCAGAACTGGACACAGTATTACAGATGAGGTCTGACTAGTAAGGAGTATAGAGGAACTACTACTTCTCACGATTTGGAAGTAATACTTTTGTTAATGCATCCCAAAATAGCATTTGCCCTTTTGGCAGCTGTATCACATTGTTGGCTCGTGTTTAGCCTATTGTTCACAATTACTCTGAGAACTTTTTCTTTCTCACTTCTGTTGAGCCACGTATTCCCCATCTTGTGTCAATGCATTTGGTTTCTTTTTCTTAGGTGCAGGACTTGGCATTTGTCCCAACTGAATCTTATTCTGTTGCTTTGAACCCTGTGTTCAAGTTCATCAAGCTCTCACTGGATCTTCATTCTGTCTTCTAGGGTGTTTGCTATTTTGTATCATCGGCAAATTTAATTATGTTTCCTTGTACTTCTTCATCTTCCTTTAAAGTTGTTGAAGAGCACTGGGCCCAGGACTGAACCCTGTGGCCCCCCACTAGTTACCTCCACCCAATACGAGAAGGTGCCATTGATGAGCACTCTGTGTCAGATTCAGCAGCCAATTTTGGATCCACCTAATAGTTTTTCTATCTAGTCTGCTTTTTGCTAATTTGTTTAGCAGAATGTCTTGTGGCACTATTTTGAAAGCTTTGCTAAAGTCTAGGTAGATTATGTCCACAGTGTTGCCTCTGCCCATTTGGGAGGTTACTCAGTCAGAAACTGAGATTAAATTAGTCTGACAGCATTTATTTTTGATAAATTCATATTGGCTTCTATTAGGCACTGCATTTTCTTCAAAATGCATGCAGATGGATTTTTAATAATTTGCTCCAGAATTTTTCAGGGATTGATTTTTCCAGGGATAGACTAACTGGTCTATAGTTCTCAGGTTCATCTTTTTTCCTATTTCTGAAGATGGGGAAGTTAGCCCTTCTGCAATCATCTGGCACTTCTCCTGTCCTCCATGATTTCTTGAAGAAAAATTGAGAAACATTTTGCCAATGGTTCCTGGAAGGGGTGGGAGCCTCCAGCCCACTTTGTGAGGCTTAGCTTTGGAAGTTTCTTTCTGATCTAGGCCTTGTGCTCATTTGCAATCCTAAGAATAAGTTTATTACTGAACTCAGTGTTCAATACTGGATTGAAGTAAACAGAATTTGAACCAGTATGAAAGGAATCAGGCCATTTTCTGAACCACTGCATCAAGGTCAAAGCTGAAACTGACAATTAGTGTTCAGTGCTGTTTTCAGTCAGTTCTCTGTATATGCTCTAAATCAGGGTTGTTAAACTTTTTTCAGCCTGAGAGTAAAATTACATTTTGGAGGTCTTGGGGGCTATATTGCAGCAGTAGTGAGACCAAAGGCAAAAGTGAACAGGACCCAATAATCCCAGAATAAACTACAGATTACAGCTCCACAGTTTAATGCTATACATGTCTCCACAGAACAAAGCTACAGCTCATGCAACAAAATATTATGTATTCTATGAATGTTTTCACAAAAGAACACACACATTGTTAAGATACACACCCATTTATGGCAGAAGTACATCTTTGGCAAAGGAGGAACCCAGATAATGTCCTCTTACATAGGCTTCTTCAGGGAATTAACTAAACAAAAGCAAGAATTTAAAAGGTACATTCATTATTTGGGAGAAAGTACCCTAGTAGACCAATTATAATTCAAATATAAGCATATAAAAGAATGAAAACTTCCAGATGCTTGCAAAAAGTAATATACTGTGGGGAAATTAGCAGTATTCTTGGAGGGTGGCTCTAGACTATGGATGTACACCAGTTGTTACGTCTGCTGTAGATCAGGTTGATCAGTGTGAACGGTCAAAGAGGTAGGGACTAGTAAATGGGAGTACCTACCTTTCTGGGAGCAGAAATGAAAGGTTCAAAAAGAAGAGTGTGTGCATCAAAGGGGTCTACCAGGCCTCATTATTGTAGGCTTCTAAGAAGGCTCTGGATACATGCTACATTATTTTGGCTTTCCCTTGATCATTTTTAGTGGAGTGGGCTGGAGCTGTAGTTGTTTGTTTTAAT